GAAGAAGAAGGAGAGCATCTTGGACCTCTCCAAGTACATCGACAAGACCATCCGGGTGAAGTTCCAGGGCGGGCGGGAAGGTGAGCCCGGAGCTCCTTTGCCTTTCCCCTCGCCCTTCGAGGAAGGCGAGGACTAGCGGGTGCTTTTACTCATTGCTGTGAAGCTTTTCTCCTTTAGCTTTTCCATTAATCTCCTAGCTGTACTTTTATCTTTGTGTCTCATCGGTGCACCTCTTCTTTTATTAGTTGTCCTTCTTTCATTAGCTGTCTTGAACCTGCTTTGCTTCGGCAGGTCTTTTGCATTGCAAGGGAGCGCTTAAAGCAGCAAAGAAACGTCTATGGTTGTGATGATCAACACAACTGTCCTGCCTTTCAGTCTTGCCTTTCATCTCTGAACATGCTAAACATGTCCAGAGTTCATGGTTCAATATATGTCACCGTGCCTTTCCATCTCTGTTGTCCCTTGCTCTGCAGCTGGGAAGAGCATCCTAACACAGCTGTCAGTGCTACCCCCGGGGCACTTGTTTGTCTGAGTTAACCCTGTGCTGGGTTAAATCCCCCCCCCCGGGACCTGATGCTTATAAGGGTTTGGAAGTTACTTGGACTTCTTACTGATAAGTGTATTTTTAAAACTGGGAGATCACTCTGTGTAGTTTTGTGATTTATTTGGTGACAAGTCTCGTGGAATCGTGATCTGCTTTAGAACAAAGTGCTGGTCTGTCTGCAGTGCCTTCCTGTGAGGCAGTGCTTATGCTAAAGAGGTAATGTGCTGGGAGGGCACCTGGAAGAGGAAAAGCACTTAAAATATTACACTCCTGCTTAATTTTTTATCATAAACCTTCATTAAGGGTATTTATTTGATTTTAGAGTCGCTTTTTTTTCCCTTAGTGTGACTTGTATTGATTTATTATGCAGAAGTATTCTTAAAATGCCCCTGGAGTGGGCTGAAAGCAAAAATGTTAGTTTTTCGAAGAGCATTTTGAAGAATTGATTGAAAAATCCAAGTTTCACTTGGCACAGCACAGACCAGGTTCTGTGCACTTACTGTTGCTATAGAGGGCACTCTTTAGTATCTCTGGTCTCCTTTGCTTGGTAGCCTTGACTGAAGGAGAATGGAATGTACCTTTCATGAAGTCTTGAGTTGCTGTATACCTGGTTTTGGTCTCTAATCATCATTTTCTGTGTGGTCTTCAATAGCAAGTGGTGTCTTGAAAGGCTTTGACCCTCTTCTGAACCTCGTGCTGGATGGTACCATCGAGTACATGCGAGGTAAGTAATATGCAGTCTGGGGAAAGCTTCCCTTTCCCTGAGTGATTTGGTTTTTAACAGAAATTTTACGGATCTATGAGTGAATAAGCAGAAACTGCAAGTTGACTGCTTACAAGGTAACACCTGAAGCTTTGGATTTGCTCCTAAAAGGGATTTTTAAAAGATGTGTAGTGCATTTTTATTGACTATAGTGATATCTCACAGGTGGTAGAACTGGGTAATGTGTGTTTGTCTGTCTTGATCCACAGCCCTGTTGGGTCCAGTCTGAGAATGCACTGGTGCTCTCTGTCCCTAATGCATTCTGAAGTCAGGGTCTTTTTCTGATTTGCACTGATCTCCAAATGTTTATCTAAAATGATTTTTGAAATGGGACCAGGGGCTTTTTTTAATCACTTGCACGTGTGCTATTGGTTGGATGAATGAAAGGGCCTTTGAATACTTTAATAAATGCATTCTGCTTTTTTGTTGTGTACAAAGCAAAGTTCTTTATTGCTCACTGTGGCATGTGCTGCTTTGAAAATCAGTAAATCAGTGATGTCTTGAAGCCATCAGGTACTACTGCTGCCTGAGCCATATAGTCCATATGTTCAATGCAGAGACACCTGGAAAAAACACGTGTGTAATTTGGTTTCTTTTCCTTAATTTTCCTGTTGTAACTGTGGATCTCTGCTTTTCAGATCCGGATGACCAATTCAAATTGACAGAAGACACACGTCAGCTGGGACTCGTGGTTTGCAGGGGGACTTCTGTGGTTCTTATCTGTCCACAGGATGGAATGGAAGCTATTCCAAACCCTTTCATTCAGCAGCAAGATGGTTAATGCTTTCTTTGGATTGTCTCTGAAGGCTTCAAGGGTGCAAGTCATTGGAGAAAACTATCAGTGTGTGAGAAGCTTCCTGTTTTGGGGAGGGAGTTTGAATGTGTATTTGTTAGTGTGAGAAAACAGTCAGCTTTTATTTTTGTGGCTTTCCATAAATGATGTGAGGATGGGGCATGCAAGAAGTAAGTTCTGGTTTCCCCCCACCAGCCCCAAATGAGTGTGTAACTACATTATTTAGAGCTGACAGGAGAGAACAAACTGTCATTAATTGTCTGAGACCCTCTTGATCTTGTGAGTTTTGAAACAAACCCATTAAATTAGTTAAGAATGCCCTAAATATTGGTTATATTCTTTACATTTTTAAATACATTAAATTGTATTTAATCTAAATCAAAGCCTAAATACATTAAAACATGTTTTTCTTCCTCTTAGATGCCAGTACTCAGCTGGGAAGCATTGTGCTGTATTCTTCCTGCTGTTGAGTTCAGTCTCTTTTGTGCAGGGAAATTACCTTCCTTGTTTAGTACTGTGTCACCACCTTGGCAGGGGATGTAGCCAAGAAGGTCTTTTCCAGCACTTGTTCCAGGTCTGGTGCACTGTGATCTGTGTGTCAGCTGGCTCACACATTCCTTACAGAAGGACTGGACTAACTTGTGGGATGATTCTTTGTTGAGTAACTTGAACCTTACAGAGGTATCTCTTTGATACTTGGAATTTTAGGGGAAGAATATTTAAAATTCCGAGGTTCAGTTGTAGGCAGTGCTGGAAATACTGCATATTTTTATATTGTAGCTATCCACTGATGGTTCTGCTTGTTATAACTTGATTTGTAAGTAAACATTTTTATTTCTTTTATACTGCAGAAAATGCAAGATTCGAGGAGTTTTGAGTGAATAAATACAAACGAATCTGTTTCTAAATGTCTGGTTTTCAGTCTGTAAAAGTGCACTTCAGCTGGCATTACACATAAACAGTGCAGAATCAGGAGGGACCAGAGCAGAAGCCATGTTCCACTTGGGCAGGAAATCGATGGGAAAGGCCTGAGAGCATCTGGTCCCTCTTCTGAGGATTTGTGCATCTCTGTCAGGCATTTTAAAGACTGCCCAGCCAAGGATATGTGCCTGTAGGCTGTGTGTGACCTCCTGCCACCTGCTTTTCCTGAGGACCCCTTAGGAGGAGGCTGTGGCAGAGTCAGTTGCTCTGGTGGCAGCAGCAGTTTTGTTCCTGCCAAGGGCAGGTTTTACTGGCTGTTATTTTGGCCACAGCACTGTGCTCCCATTCAGAGCCTGGCCTGGGTCAGCTGTGAAATGGGTGGGAGCTTGAAATAAATTCCAGTCCAGTCAATCTGACTTTTCCAGGAGGCTCTGAAATGAGGGACCAGGTGTCTTGTGTGGCACATTGCCTGTATGAACTTGGGTGCTGCTGGTTTTTAATCTCCTGAGGGCTCATCCTTTGGCTCACAGAAGAGTAGTGCTCCTCATGACGTAATTTCTTTCTAATGCTGCAAAACCTGTTGTTCATGCACAATTCAAAAGAGAGTCCTTATTCAGATAGGTAGGAGCAGAATCTGCTCTCCATCAGTGTGAGCAGGGTCTTGAGCTGTCCTTTAGGTGGGAGAGAGATTTCTGGCTGTTGAAGACAGCAACATGCACTGTCTCTGCACCCTCTGTGTGTAGCATCAGAAACGGACCTGCTGAGGCTCTCTGGGGGGAATTCTGGCCTCTCAGGGCAGAGAGATCTGCCTGGAGTCATGGATCAAGTGTGTAAACTGGAGAGGTGCATGTTTCCAGCATTTCCTGCTTGATAGGTTGCTTAGTCTTCATTGCAGCTGCGTGTCTCTTTGCAGTGCAGACTTGGAGGGTATATTTGGGAGTCAAGTACCTGAAAAGAAGAACACAAAAATGACAGGGGACAGACATTTTAGCAAGGCCTGTTGGGACAGGACAAGGGGTAATGGTTTAAGCTAAAAGAGGGGTGATGCAGACTAGAAGGTATTTTTTGTGATGAGGGTGCTGAGGCCCTGGCACAGCTGACCCAGAGCAGCTGTGGCTGCCCCATCCCTGGAAACCTTTAAGGATGGGGCTTGGAGCAACCTGGTCTAGTGGAAGGTGTCCCTGCCCATGGCAGGGGGGGTGGAACTGGATGACCTTTAAAGGTCCCTTCCAATCCAAACCATCCAAAAGTTCTATGATTCTATATGTCAATTTTAGAAGTGTATATGCTTCTGCTCGCTGAGCTCTGCTGAGAACTGGCACCAAATCCTGTTGGTCTGGGCTCTTCAGGTAAGGGTTCTGGTCACTGTGCAAGTTCAAGGTCACTATGCAAATGCCTCCATTTGCCTTTGGAAAAATTTGCTATGGCACAAACAAACATTGTGTTTGTTTAGTGCATTCAGATTGAGGATGACTAAATGTGAAGCTGTCTGGGTTTGAATGGGGGGCTCCTTCCCTTCCTCTCTTACTAAAGTTAGATACGTAGTAAAAACTGCAATCATTCTGGAATTCGATATTAAACTTGAACTGATGAAAGGTGTGGTGATGGTTGCTTTTTTCCAAATGGGCTCGATGTTTCTGTGCAACTTCCTGATACTTACTCAGTGCTTAGGAAGCTTGTGGTTGTTTCTCCTGTTTTTTCCAGGCTCTTTGCTTGGCTAACAGCCCCCTGATTTGCTGTGGTCTTACCTGGTGAAGGCAGGTGCCAGTCAAATCTGCATTTTTTGGTCATGCAGCTGTTCTGCTATTGCTGTTCTGAAAGCAGCAGGAAAGACTGAAGAGCAAAGCAGGAGAGTAGAAAACATTCTATTTTTAGGGGAAGATTGGCTTATCTCATATTCATTCTAGCCAGGGGGATAATGTTTCCAGAGACCTCACACAAGCAAGGGCCACGTAAAGACTGAGTTAATTTTAACTGCCTGGCAGTCCACAGGCATGGAGCCTTCACAGGAGCCTCAGGAGCTGGGACCTGAGACAGAAACCATTGCAGACACAGTTCTTGAGGTTGGAGAGAGACTGTTTCAGGTCAGCCGCAGGGCGCTTTCAGTGCACAGCCGTTACTTTGAGGCCATGTTTTTCGGAGGGGCAAGAGAGAGCTCTGAGCAGCACATAGTGATCCAAGGGATCGATGCAGTGCCTTTTCAGGCACTGCTTGAGTTCACTCGCACAGCCCAAGTGCTCATAGGCCAAGAAAACGTGACCAGTTTACTGGAAACGGCTGATTTTTTCCAGTTTGACAGGGTGAGACTGTTGTGCGAGAAGTTTCTGGAGAGAGAGCTGCACGTTTCCAACTGCCTGGGCCTGATGACCTACTCGCAGCAATTTGCCTTTACAGAGCTGTATGAGTCTGCTGTGAACGTGGCTGTCACTCACTGGGGGGATGTGATGTGCCAGGAGGAATTTAAGGCGCTACCCAAAGAAATGCTGATGCAGCTCCTAAGAAGCGACGACCTCTTCGTTTCGCGAGAAGACGTGGTTTTTGACAGTATTGTGAGGTGGATAATGGAGGACCCAGCAACGAGAGAGGAAGAATTTCTGGATTTGGTGGGCGAAGTCAGGGTCGCTTTTCTGAGTCTGTCCTTCCTCGATCTCTTGGTGAAACGCAGCAAGCACCGTGGAGAGGCAGATGTCTTTTCCAGACTAATAAAGAAGTTAGACTGCTGTCCTCCACCCAGCTGGCAAAATCCCAAACTGTGTCCTTATGCTGGTCGGAGCTATGACACCTTATACGTCCTGGGAGGAAAGCATGACAAGGAACAGCAAGAATTATTTCTCTTTCTACCTAAAACAGGGACCTGGCAGGCTTGTTCTCCTCTGCAGCGCCGGAACCTCACCCAGTACGCAGTGGCAGCAGTAGGTAACTCACAGAGGAGGGAGACTGAGCACATGCAAACAGAAGTTGAGACAGAGAATCCCTGCTACAGGGAGTCCAGCTGCTGCTGTAAAACTGCTGTGCTCAGCATTGCTAAAACCTCATTCATATTGGTGTTCATATTCGCTCAAAGAGTGGTTCTGTTTTCCTTAGTCCTGGGAGAATGCTAGACGAGGCTGAATATTTCTTTTTATGTAGCAGAAACTGTGGAGTCTGTGGAGCTCCTTACACTGGCTTTATCTGCAGTGAGTCAAAGGACTTGACTTTGAGCAGTGTTATTTTTTTGGCCTTCTCTTTCGTGGTGGTTTTGACAGATGTCAGGCAACTTCTGATTTACAGTTGCCATTACGTTAAACTTATCCATGGATGTTAGGAAATCTCCATGCTTGGAGATGAATTTCAAGGCAGTTCAATACCATGGCTTCCTATATTAGTGTTAGTGATAGTCTCATTTCAGGTGGGAGTTTGGAAATGAGATACCCAGAGGTTCTTTCCAACCAGTGTTTCCATGATTCTGTTCAAGAGTGGGAGCAGGCTTGGAAGGAATCCCTGCATCCCATGGGCCCAGTGTATCTGTGAGAATGAGGAATCAAATTCTGCAAACTGGTTGATAGAGCAGTGATTTTCTCTGCTCATTTTGCACCTCACTACTACATCCCAGGACGAAACAAGAACCCCAGCTCTCAGGAGCCATTTTTAGCTTTCATGTGACTGACGCTTTTCTCTGCTGTCTTTCCAGGGAGCTTCCTTTTTGTGACAGGAGGATATTTCCGGGATGAGTTTGTGTGGTACAGTGTGGATTGGGTGCTCATCTACAACTGCTTGGACAACAGCTGGCTGGAAGGGCCAGCCATGAAGAAGTCCCGGAACAGCCACTGTGCAGTGGGAGCAGGGCTCTACCTGTACGTGCTCGGCGGGAGCACCGATGAGGGGATAACCCCCGCGGTGGAGCGCATGGCTTTGGTGGAATCAGAGTGGGAAAGCATGAGCCCTATGGCTCAGCCTGTGGAGAGGGGTGATGCAGTCAGTGTGGGAACCAGGATCTATGTGGTCTGTGGCCTGGATGAGAATGGACATGTGTACGACGGAGTGCAAAGGCTGAACACGGAGACGGACAGCTGGGATGTCATCTCGTTCTCCCCGCTTCCAAGGTAAGAAATAATATTCTGGGACCTGGCAGAAGAAGAAAGGTTCTAGTGTTGGTCCTGCTTCAAGAAGAGGTTGGACTGTAGAAATCCAGAAGTCCTGTCCCTGCAACACTTCTGTGATTCTCTGTTTAAATGGGACTCTTGATTTGAGGACCACGACCACACTGAATATTTCAGGGGCCAGATCTTTCTGCTGATGCTGATCAAGGGTTTCTTCCCTCCCAGGTATGACCTCTGCATCACGTCCCTGAATGGGGCTCTGTACACCATAGGAGGGGGAGCTTTTCGATTTGATGTGGAGACTGATGAATGGACTCAGGTGAACGAGGAGTGCTTGACCCAGAAGTTCTTCATGGGATGCAGCACTGTGAACGGACGAATTTACCTCCTCGGACAGAGGAAGGGGAACAGCGCCCTCCCCACTGTAGTCCTTTTTGACCCCTACACTGATGTGTGCCAGGTCATAGATAACAAACTCCCTTGCCCCCTTCCTATTCACGGCTGTGTCTCTGTGCGAAGATTCGATACGTGGGCGTGAGCGGCGCCAGATCCACCACAAACAAAAAGTCATCTGCTTTACAGCTGGAGGGAGTTAGACTGCATCACGTTTGGCCTGTGAAATTTTTTAATTTTGAAAACAGATTTGTTCTTTTGTAACTTTATCTTTTTTTTTTTCTACGAATGAACTCGAAGCAAAAGCCGGTGAAAAACTTCGTGTCTGCACAAAGGCTGCAAGTCATTATTGAAAATGGTACATGAACTCCTCGGGGTTGTTGCTAAATAAAGGGCTGCTCTGACCTTGAACCTCTGTGGCTCTCTGTCCTTTGAACAGCTGGAAGAGACAGGAAAGTCACTGCATCACTGTTAGAAAATATTGTAGGATTTAAATCATAAATCAAATGTGTGTCAAGGGAATCTTCAGCAGGATTGTAAGCTCACAGTGATTTAGGATGGAGCAAAAAAACCCTCCAACAATTATTGTAGTCAAGCCATAGCCAATCAATATCAGTACCATTTTAGCCTGAAATAAGCATGTCTCACAGATTATGTAATTATGGCTAAAATTACCTTTGTTCTAGGCTGGAGAGCACCACAGCAGGAGGGAGGCTATTCTGGATTTATGCACTCAGGTATGTGATAACAAACATTTGTACATTGGGGCACTTAAGAGACTTGCTTCAGTTTGCTTAGTCCTCACTGGATTAATTGCTGCACAGAGTCAGAACAGAAATCCCCATCCCAAAGCACTGAAACGAGGGTGCAAGGAGCAGGGACCTGCATGTAGCTGTACTTAAAGGCTGTGTGTAAGGAAGTGGGTTTGCTGGGCAGGACTATGGGCTTAGAGCAGTGGGGGATTGATCTCCAGGGGTGCTCAGGCCTCCCGAGGATGGGGAGGCTGAGAGAATGATGTGACAACATCTGCTTGGCCGACTGAGAAGGGGAGAGTGCAGCAGCACCGAGCTGGGGTGCTGCACTGCCACCCTTACTGTCACCTGTGCTGGCAGAGTCTGTTCTTGGATGTGACACAGCAAGGAAAATGCACTCGAGAGAGTTCCTGAGCTGAATGATTAACACCTCCAGAGAATGGGGGATCTTAAAAATGAAGAGGTGTTGGTTAAAAGCAACCCTGGCACTGTGAGAGCTGTGTCAGGGTGTCCTGCAGATGTGGAGCCCTCCCAGCCCAGGCTGCTTCCCCTCAGGGTTGAGGGTCCCCATGGTGGGGCTGCAGCCCTGGAGGCTGGGCCTGTTCTCTGCACCCAGGGCACAGTTGTGGCCTGAGGGCTGTGTGAGTCTTTTAAAAGCTTTGGTTCTCACGTATCATTTGTAGCTTTAAAAGAAAGCATTGTAGTCAATGGACAGGGTGAAATAAATTGTCCAGGGTGAAATAATTCCTGGGCAAACCACCAGGGTTTAATGAAGGGTCTCGTGCCCCCAGCAGAGTGCAGCTATTGGGGGTGAGGTGACACCCCTGCTCAGGGCTGGTGCCCCAGAGATGGTGCCTGCCTGCCCTCCAGCATTGCAGCCTGCACACCTGAACTCCACAGTCCTCCAAGGGAATGCTGGTTCAGCCTCTGAGTTACGTTATGTTAGACCTCCAGCAAGTTTCAAAGAAGATTCCCCTACTGACGTAAGTTCTGATATTCTAAAAACCTCCTGCACCATGCAAAATGTACATAAAACAAGCTTTTTTGTTTAGGTGTAATTAATATTTTACGTTGACTTTAAAATTTTATGTTCTACTATAAATTCTGAAAATCAAATCAGATGCAATAAATTGCAAGGTGAAGCATCATCCAACCCCTAAACTGCCCTTTTAAAATGTTAGTGTTATAACACCTCTATTTTCCAATTTTGAAAATGAAATCTCAACAAAATTAATACATCCATGTGGAAAGTTTCTGTCTATTTTTTATAATTATAATTTCTGGTAGAAAAATGTGCCTTTGGGAAGAGTTTCAGTTCCTTTCAATTTCAGAAGCCTTCTTCCTGAGTAGACATTCAATTAACAAAATATTTTAGGCCCATGAGCTATTTGTGTAATTCATAGAGCAAACACAGCTTCTATCAGTTGTCCAGGCTTTATTTGCAGAAATGGTTTATCCTAGAGCCTGACCATTTTATGCTGCAGAAGTGAAAACTTATTTGCCACTTAAGCCAATGCCTTTCACATGCAAGTCCTTTCATAAAGTGGCTGGAGTCGGTGTCACTGTTTTCTGAAACTGCAAATAATTTAAATCTTCCACAGTTGAAATTTATTGTCTCATTAATCTTTTGGGAAGACCTTGAGGTAAGTGTAGATGGGTGTCATAACTTCAGCAGCTTGTTCAACCCCTCTTCTCTTTTCAGAGTGAGACTTTGGCTGGCAGACCCCTTTTTTTCCAACATGGACATCATACAGTAGTAGTAAAAGAATGGTCCTAACAAGGGAATTGTAGAAAATACCTCCTGAAGTGACTTAACTGCCTATAAACATGATGAAGAAATTCACCTCCACCCAGACAGTGGATGCTGCCTCAGGCAGACTGTGGTGAAGCCTCTGTGAGCTTGTCAGGCCTCTCCCCCAGCTTCTGTTCAGCCTTCCTGCACTCCAGAGTCTGCCTGGCTCCTGGTGTTTTGCAGCAAGCCCTGCATTATTCTTGGTTCTTTGCTGGATCCTCTGCTTCACTACTGTCACTCTCTTCAGTGTCACTTCTGGCATCTTGTCTTTTCTGAAGAAAACAAAGTCAGTTGAAATGAGCTGCAAATGAGCTCTAATATATCATGGTATATATTAGAGAGGACTAGCCCTGTTTTCATTCACAGCCCTGGGGAGGGTTAACCTGGCAGCTAAAATAATAATAACAGGTGTGACCATGTCCTTAAAACCAGTGCTGCAACTGTCCCTGTGCTGGGAGGTTGACTCAGGCTGCCAGAGTTTGACTTAGCTATGATTTCACCTAACTTTTGAATGCTTGGTTTTTTTGTCACTTTAATAATATTCTTGTAATGTGACCATCTGAAAATAAGTTAGTATTTATTCTACATATAGTTATTCTGCATATTTTCCTGTGCAATTTGTTTCTGTCGAAACTGTGAAAGTCAACACTTATTTGTCCAGTGAGTGTATGCACTGGGCTCCTCATTTTGCAACCCTCTACAACCTCAGTGAGCATATCCTCCATCATTTCCTCAGAAAAAGTGCTTTTTATTGTAATTTAGCTTTGATAAAGGGGTACTTCAAGGTAAGCTGAAGGCATAACACCAACACTGTGGGGTTTTTTTGCTGGCCACAGGTCCCCAAATCTTTCACAGATCTCAGATGCTCCCACAATGCCATCTGCTTGTGCTAGCAAGGCAGGCCAGGGAGCTGATGACAACTCTCTGATGACCAGCCCTCTCTGATGACCAGCCCTCTCTGATGACAACATTTCTCCCACTGGTCTCTATACGAGCTCTGGCATGCATCAAGAGCCTGTGGAAGGCACCCAAAACCCAGAGATGCAAATACACAGTGTGCTGTCTACCAGGCTCACCTGGTTGCTCCTCCCTCACTCCACTTTGGACAGACCAACAGACTCTTGTTCTCCCAAACCACAAACTAAGAAGCTGTTGGGCAGTGAGGGGAAAGGACTGTGGATGGCTCCCATGTCACCAGGACACAGCTGCAAACCAGAAGTGAGCTCCTGCTCTGATTTCTGTGAGCTCAGTTACCCACACAGCTCCCAACACATGCCTTCAGAAGCTCTGGGGCTCTTTTTTGGGCACTCCCATTTCTCACCCACCCCTTCCCTGCAGGCAGGCAGGAAACCTGGGCCTCGTGGTCTCTCATGAGTGGTGGTGGTGGTGGCACAAAGGAGACAAAGACTTTTCATACCCCACCACGGAGGATGACACTGAAGATCATGTGGATGATCAGGTAGGACCAGAAAATGTGTAGCAACTGCAGGACCCCCAGGAAAGCATTTATCAGGCAGCTTATGGGGAACAACGGAAGCTTTGTCACAAAGTAATAGTATACACTGTGGGAAAGAGAGGGAGAAGGAAGTCAGAAGACACAAGACTAAAGCAGGCCAAGTGTCTTCACACTTCCAAGGGTCAAATATCTTTCTGGGAAACGACTTGGCTGGTGTGTCCCCAGGGCAGAGCTGAGCTGTGCCAGGACTGCACCATCAGGCTTCACACTGCCCAGCTCTCTCAAAGCATGAGAAAGACATCCTGATCATTCCCAGTACCACAAGAGCTCATGAGAAATCACCCACTGTGGCTGCATGTAAACATCTCATCACAGCATGACGAGCCCCCAGGTGAGAGGCAGCCCCTGCCTAGGAGAGATGGTGAGTGTGGCAATGGAGGGGTAAACACTGTGGCTCTAGATTAACTGAGATAATTAATTAATATAATTAATAAAGTTAAAGCCCTATCGGTTTTTCTCCCCTTGGGTTCCTCTGTTCCAGCTGAATTAATCTTACCTGTTGTGTCCCATTCTTTGCCTTTCCCCCTCTCAGCATGGAGGGTCACCTCTCCAGGAGCTCAAACAGTGCACAACACCCATGTTTAGAAAACAGCAGAACGTAACTTACATTAATGGGAAAACGACAAGCCGGGAGAGGATGAAAACCACAGCAAAAGCAACGAAAACAGCGTCACAGACCCGCTGCCACTTCAGGTAATGAAGCATCTTGGCAAGCTGTAAAGAAACATTGCTGTGTGTCCCTTGTGCCTGTGTTCTCCTCCTAAGGGCTGAGGGATTTCCCACATCCTGCAAGGGTGACAAGGGCCTGTGGGGATGTGTCCCAGTCCCTTTGCATCCAATTACTTTTCCTCAAGAGCAGTAGGTCTGGTAGTTCCTAAATGTGCTTTCACTGAAGCAGATGTCCCACTCTTGGGGCACCACATCAACGTGTGAACACAGTTCCCAGTGCTGCCCACAGACACAAGCATAGGCTTGAGACTGGGAGAGCACCTTTTTACACAGATAACAGTTTTAAACTAAAAGAGGAGAGATTTAAATTAGATTTTAGGAAGAAATTCTTTACTCAGAGGGTGGTGAGAGGGTGGGTTGCCCAGAGAAGCTGTGGCTGCCTCATCCCTGGGGCCAGTTGGATGGGGCTTAGAGCACCCTGATCTAGCAGAAGGTGTCCCTGCACATGGCAGGGGGTTGGAATGAGATGGGCTTTAAGGTCCCTTGCAAGTCAAACCATTCTGTGACTCTGTGTGAGTGTTTAACGCACCTCTAAAATATAATCGGAGGCGTCATGGACCAGCATGACCATCACCCCAAACCGGATCATGTTGGCACAGTAGGAGACAAAGATCAGCGTGAT